TCGATAAGATTTTAGTTCTAATAAGTGGTATGTACTACAAGAAAACTAGTAGCAGGTGACAACTAGTCACAAAAGACTCATGTTAACAACACAAGGACAATAATATAATGTCTGAATCCTGCTGTAGGTAAAAAGGTTTAAAAGACTTGTGTTTAACAACACAAGGACAATAATATAATGTCTGAATCCTGCTGTAGGTAAAAAGGTTTAAAAGACTCGTGTTAACAACACAAGGACAATAATATGATGTCTGAATCCTGCTGTAGGTAAAGAGGTTTAAAAGACTTGTGTTTAACAACACAAGGACAATGATATAATGTTTGAATCCTAGTGTAGGTAAAAGGGTTTAAAAGACTCATGTTTATAAAAGGCCCTTAACTGGCACAGTTTGTGGATTAGTAAGAGAAATACAGATACATTGGCTCTGTTCCCATCTTACACACATTTCTCTAAACTATTTATATAACAGAACACTTGTGGCTTTGTTGGATCCCTGATGAGCCACACACAAAAAATAGTTCAAATATTGCTAATGAATCCTACTAATTACTGCCAGGGTTTCCTTTGTATTTACATAGAAAGTCAACGATTCCATTCAATATTTTAATGAGTACTCTACACTAAATTTTATAAAAGGTAACAAGTAAAAAATCATTTATAGAAACAACAGAAACACACACATAAACATAATATATGTGGAACTCAATAGAAACAAACACATAAACATAATATATATGGAACTCACTAGAAACAAACACAAACATAATATATGTGGAACTCAACAGAAACAAACACAAACATAATATATGTGGAACACAACAGAAACAAACACAAACATAATATATGTGGAACTCACTAGAAACAAACACATAAACATAATATATGTGGAACACAACAGAAACAAACACATAAACATAATATATGTGGAACACAACAGAAACAAACACAAACATAATATATTTGGAACACAACAGAAACAAACAAACATAATATATTTGGAACACAACAGAAACAAACACAAACATAATATATGTGGAACACAATAGAAACAAACACATAAACATAATATATGTGGAACACAACAGAAACAAACACAAACATAATACACATGGAACACAACAGAAACAACACATAAACATAATACATGTGGAATACAACAGAAATAAACACAAACATAATACATGTGGAACACAACAGAAACAAACACATAAACATAATATATGTGGAACACAACAGAAACAAACACATAAACACAAGTCAGTAATTTGAGGGTAAATAATTTTGAAGATGAGAAATACATGATTTCAATGCTGTACTTTTTCTAAGTATTTCTACAACTCAAGTAACGTAACTGAAATTGTTCTATTCTGAAACCCGAAAATAAAGAGGAAAAAAAGGAACAACATAAAAACCAGAAAAAAAAAGCTTAATATTAAAAAACGTCGTGCACAGCTACATCACAAATAAAATACAAAAGAAACTTTATTACAAAAATCAAGTTTGAGTTCTCATTGGTTTATTACACCAACAAACATGTCAGAGTTACTCTAGTCTGAAACCCTCAATGCTGTAGGTAAAAAGGTTTACATCTACATGTTAAACACCGAGTTATAAATACCCTTATACATGTTAAACACCGAGTTATAAATACACGTCTATACATGTTAAACACCAAGTTATAAATACATGTCTATACATGTTAAACACCAAGTTATAAATACATGTTTATATATGTTAAACACTGAGTTATAAATACGCATCTATACATGTTAAACACCGAGTTATAAATACACGTCTATACATGTTAAATACAAAGTTATAAATACACTCATAAATGTTAAACACCAAGTTATAAATACACTTCTACATGATAAACACCGAGTTATAAATACACGTCTATACATATTAAATACAAAGTTATAAATACACTTATACATGTTAAACACTGAGTTATAAATACACTTATACATGTATCTGTACCTGTTTTTAGGTTACTGTGTCCATGTTTTTATCAAATACAAACATTACTTAACTTTCTGAAATACTGAAATATTTTATATAAATTTACATAACCTAACTCAACTCATTTTGCTTTATACATAGATGTCCATTATTTTGGACTACTGGCCAGGTGAAAGACTGCTAGTCAGTAGCCCCTGCTACCAGTAACATGGGCTTTATCAACTAAGTAATAGGACTGATCGTTACTTGTCTCTTTTAATAATACATACACAGTTGAAAGTGCAAAGCATGCCTAAAAGCAAGTTTTAAACCTTTGATTTGCAGCCTGGTTTATCAACCATTAAACAAAGACCAGTCTAATACACACAAAAAAGAGAGAAAGCTTAATGAAATGACCTAACAAAGTTAATATGAATAGAAATCACCAACTTTACTGGTGATGAAAGCTCCAGATCTGGAAAAACTTACCGAAGTGTGAGAGTATACTCTCCAGATCCTTTATTGGAAGCATCTCTTACAAGGAAGGTTCCATCTGGGGTATCTTTCAGTTTTTCATTCACTTCCTCCCTGGTTGAAGAGTTTATATTTTTATAAACAAGATGTGACAAACAAAAACTTTATTGATCTGAAACTGAATTGAAACTAAAATCTTCATATGCACTGAAACTCTTGATCTATTTATACATATAATGCTTGGTACCTCCAGTTATACACACACTTCCAAAACGTCATTCCAAACATTTTCATATGACACAGGCTACTAAAGTAGAACAAAAACATAATTTTTGTTTAAGTTTACGGACTGAGACATTACGTAAACTTTCTTGGAAACCCCGAGTAAATGAAACTGAGAATGTAAAATAAATAAAAACCTATGTTATGAATAAGAGAATTCTCTAACAGTTATTAAACTAAAACAACAAAAACTTTCCCTGACCTTGTAATTTCTCCCCAGTACCACTCTGCTTCCTCTAGTGTAATTGGTCCTTCTGCAGATCTTACAGAGGTGTCAAGGTTCATCTCAGACCCGTCTCCTACTGATCCCCCATTATTAGAGCTGCCAACCGTAAGTGCCTCTGACAATGAATGGCTTGGTACGAGAGATGAGCGACGAGGTGGTAAAGCTATAAACAAGAACAGTATTAGCATCAGATAAAACGAAAAAAGTTTATATTTGAGGTAGTAAGAAACTGTACCTGAAAAACCAGAAAAATCAAAGATTTCTTACAGCTGTAACAGAAAATTAGCTAAAATTTACATACGAGATACTCTGTGTTAATCCCTCATTTATGACTGCTGGGAAGGCAACCAGTCAACAGCATCTACAGTTAACCTAATATCAGGATTGACTGTCATACTTATAATACCACTGTAAGTGTGGGAATGTTTTATTTTGTGGTGCTCTATTCAAGCTATTTCTAAGTAAATTAGGTTTTAGTTGTTCAATGGATCTCTGTTTTTTGATATATCTTCACTGGTTCATGGAAATCCCTTTTGGACAGAACAAACTGGTTTGCAAAGAAACCTTTATCACTGTAATTTTCTTATGTGTTGAAAGTTAGATTTAAAATAATCAATAAACTTGTCATAACAACAGATAATGTGAAGTACACAATATCACAATATGCTGATGACATCTCTGTCTCTTACACTAGATGGTTATCTTAATGTTGTGATTCAAACTCTGGATTATTTTGAAATAAATATTCAAATTTAGGTTAATTTTTGTAATATGGATAAATATTAGAATACTAGGCAGAAATTAAAACGAGGATATTCAGATTTTTTTACTTAAGTATTTCCAATCAAATTAAAATACATTTTAATTGGAAGAGCTACGATACTTAAAATATTGTTACTGCAAAATTAGATTATTTACTTCATTGTTTGCCTAATCTCAATCCTCAAAGTATAAATAAATATTGCAAGCGCATACAAATGACGAACATAGAAACGTTTTAACTAGATGTTGTAAAATATAAGTATGTTAATAACTATTAAAATAAATGTGGTTAAGAACATGTAGTTTATCACACGCTAGATGTATTGATGTCTGATCTACATGTTAATAACTATTAAATAAATGTGGTTAAGAACATGTAGTTTATCACACGCTAGATGTATTGATGTCTGATCTACATGTTAATAACTATTTAAATAAATGTGGTTAAGAACATGTAGTTTATCACACGCTAGATGTATTGATGTCTGATCTACATGTTCATAACTATTAAAATAAATGTGGTTAAGAACGTGTAGTTTATCACACACTAGATGTATTGATGTCTGATCTACATGTTCATAACTACTAAAATAAATGTGGTTAAGAACATGTAGCTTATCACACGCTAGATGTATTGATGTCTCATCTACATGATCATAACTATTAAAATAAATGTGGTTAAGAACGTGTAGTTTATCACATGCTAGATGTATTGATGTGTCATCTACATATTCATAACTCTTAAAATAAATGTGGCTAAGAACATGTAGTTTATCACACGCTAGATGTATTGATGTCTCATCTACATGTTCATAACTATTAAAATAAATGTGGTTAAGAACATGTAGTTTATCACACGCTAGATGTATTGATGTCTGATCTACATGTTCATAACTATTAAAATAAAATAAATGTGGTTAAGAACGTGTAGTTTATCACACACTAGATGTATTGATGTCTGATCTACATGTTCATAACTATTAAAATAAATGTGGTTAAGAACATGTAGCTTATCACACGCTAGATGTATTGATGTCTGATCTACATGTCCATAACTATTAAAATAATTGTGGTTAAGAACATGTAGTTTATCACATGCTAGATGTATTGATGTGTCATCTACATGTTCATAACTATTAAAATACTTGTGGTTAAGAACATGTAGTTTATCACACGCTAGATGTATTGATGTGTCATCTACAAATAAAAATTATTCTAGTGAATATTTTAAACAGGCATCTTTGTATCTTAAGCATTTCTGGAAAGATATTTTTCAAAGTGGATTTAAATTGCTGGTATAAATGGCATTTGGACAAATTATGGATTCAAATTTACTGGTTACTTGATTAATCATGTTAGTACAGTTTTGGAAATATATAACTGATATCAATTCATTTTGAAATATTACTTAAATCAGTAACCAAATGGAAAAATGTTAATACTGGTTAGAATTATAACAGTTGTACAGTATATATACTCCTTGTAACTTAGAAATAAAGGATGTTACAACATGTACAAGATACTCCTATTTCAAAATATTAATCCAACTGGTGAGAAACAAATTGGTTAAAAGAAGATATTAGAATAACCGGTATAAAGTGTGTAGTAATCCATTTATAATTACAAAATATACTCACTTACAATGGTATGAATACAGCAATATTTGTAGAACTAAACTTAATGATGAAATAGTGAGAAACTCTATAAAGTATATCAATAAAACACTCACTCGGAGAGTGTACTTTTGCAAACCAACTATGGAAATAATTTCCATTATGGATAAATATTAACATAAAATGTTTTATTAACCCAAGTTGAAAATCATATTTCTCTATTAAAATTGTTGAAAGTTTGTTTTCATTTTAATAAATTTTAAAATACAAAATATTTATCGATATTTCAAGTTCTTCTGTTTTTGTTACTTTGTTTATGATAGTGTAAAATTAAGTAAAAAAACTTAAGTTTTCAATTGTGTAATAAAAAACAACTTAGTTTTTAACAGCAGCTATTTTTAAATACTTTAGGTTTTGTATGCTCCTTTTAGAGAACATATGACACAAAGTTCACTTACACAAACTTTGAAAATTAATTAGTCACAACTGATATCCAGTTGAAACAGCTGTAGAGTTTTAAAGATTGTGTAATTCAAAAATCAACTCTTTCAATGCATTGTATCATGGCTTGGGAAGGCTTAGCCTCCCCAAATAATTTCCCTCATAGAGTATTATTTTGACAAACTCAAAAATATAATACAGTATATGTGGAGAGAGTAAAAGAGGGTATATACATGGACTGATTCTTCTCAAATGTGCTACCACTTATGTGTGACAGAATAGCCTACCCAAACAAAAGATTCATGTGCTACATTGTACTGTAGGATCTAAAGCATGGTATCTGTTTGTATACGAGTGTTGTGTCATAAAATCTACAGAATAGGGTTTTATACACACAATGCATTCCTGAATTTTCCAGTGGTTACATGTTAGGAAAAAATCAAGTAACTATCATATATATTTAGCAGGATATGGTGTTTTCACAGAAATTTGGTGATAAATCGTTTGGATCCTTTGATATTCACTTCATTACGTAATGCAGCCGAATATCCATGCTCAGTAAACACAAACTTGTCAAAATAAAATAAAAAACTGAATCAATTTTTCTTTCACTTGTTCAACAGCTCTCTCTCCGTCATCTTAGTAAAATCAACGTCCCAAGGTTTATCACACACTAGTTATCAGTACCGGATACCTGTACGCATATACGTATGTATATGTAAAGGTAAGTAACTTAGGTAACTGAGGTTTATCACACACTAGTTATCAGTACTGGATACCTGTACGCATATACGTATGTATATGTAAAGGTAAATAACTTACGTAACTGAAGTTTATCACACACTAGTTATCAGTACTGGATACCTGTACGCATATACGTATGTATATGTAAAGGTAAATAACTTACGTAACTGAGGTTTATCACACACTAGTTATCAGTACTGGATACCTGTACACATATAGGTATGTATATGTAAAGGTAAATAACTTATGTAACTGAAAGCAGCGACCGTAAAAATGTTGCACAAGTGATTTTGTTAGTGCTACAAAATCATGAATCAATACAACATCAAAAAACAAAGAATTCTACTATGATCTCACAAACAACCTGTCTTCGTGGCTCTGAAAAAATCCACAAGATTATAACAAAATTCATCTAGAAAATGAAAGATAAATGTATCTATAAAAATTTGGCAAGCTTTTAGTAAAATCTACAAGTCTGTTGTATACAAAATAATCAGACGTGTTTGTACTTAAGATACGTCTGTGAAATGATAACATCAGTCCGACTCTTAACAACTCGGAGTGTAAGGTGATATTCGTGTCAAACATATAAATACTTTTGTCCAATATACAGTTTGCATATTGAATTTACACAACCTCCAAAATGCATATCTATACTTTTCTTCAGTATCCCGGTATATAGCACTTACTGTCAATAAATCAGTAATGTAGGGTAAAATGAGTAGTTGTTAACTCTGACACCAGATATATAAAACCATGTTGAATGGCACTCTGCAAAAGGTCATGTGGACTTTGACCACCACCTGTAAACACAAGGTTAAGCTAGTTTTCTTAACATTTAACAATCATGGAAGGAATTTATATATGATCCAAATTTAAATTTTTAATAACTAATTTTCTTCTTTGTAATGATATAGATTTTTCTATATTCTCATATACCAATGGAGGATTTTTAATACATTATATACTTTTTTTAAACAGTTTTCCTGAAAACGTATAAGAACTGGAATCTTTGTGATACAAACTAAAGCGAAAGTTAAAGGTTAAGTAACAGTAATTATTAATTAAAAAAAGGTTTTCAGAGCAGCAGCATCAATCTAATGAGATGATGATGAGTTACTGTGTTTCTTTTCTCACATATCAAACTATGAATTAGTATCGGAACAAGTTAAAAGACTAAAAAATCTCCTATATTTTTTAAGCAGAAGAAAATAAAAATAACCACCTGGATACAAAAGTTACTACATTCTGAAAAACAAAATACAATATCTACTCTCCTTGGTTAGACTTCATTAAAGCTTTTGTATGAGTTATCTATGTCTGCAAATTACAGTTAGTTAATATAAAGAGTAAACCGTATCACTTTGTCTTACATCTATAATATATAAAAATACATCCACTGAAATGAAACTGTTGTGTATGTTTATCTTTAAAGTCAAAATCAGTAAGTTTTTGGTTGTTAAGAGACTCAGACAAAAGTGAAAACATGTTTCAGGCTACTTTTTTTTTCACAACAGTAACAACCAAATGAAATAAATGTATTCACTATGAAACAAAGTTTGTGTGACGGAGAACTCTGAATTATTTTAATTTTTCAAGTTACATTATACTTACGCTATTAATAATGTACAAAAATTATCATTAAATAAGTTACCAATAAAATAATAATTACCTTTACAATCTTTTTATCCCTAATAATTATCCATTTGTATTTTGAAACACTGTATATTTTAGAGAAATGACTTGTTCTTTTCCAACTGAATTACCTGGTGCTAAATCAAAAACTGGCATCTTTTCACCCCAGTCACACTTGAGCAACAACAACTCCACTGTGCGCATGTGTGCCTCTGTGTTGTGGACTATTTTTCTGAAACATAAAATAAAATATATGCATAATAATCACAAACTTATGGGAATCACTGATAACTAAAAGGTGTTCAACACCAAATCAGTGGCTTAGTTCTAGTTATAACAATCACAGAAACTGTATTATAAAATAGCAAAAGGCCAAATCCCTCCCATGGTAGCACATATGATCTTCCGCTGGGCTCTGGCTTAATTGGCACAAGAATAATTCCACGTTATCCCTGGATGGAATGTCAATCCATCACAGGTTAACTGCTGGTACCCAACAATGCTGTGTAGACTTAAACAAGTGGATTAAGGTACGTTGCTCAAGGACATAACAGTATGACATGCACCAGCCTTCAACTAGAAATCCTTCAACAGTGAGACAAAAGTATCAAGCAACTGCTCCAAAACAACACAAGGACAATAATATAATGTTTGAATTCGTATTTATAACTCGGTGTTTAACATGTAGATGTGTATTTATAACTCGGTGTTTAACATATAGATGTGTATTTATAACTTAGCGTTTATCATGTATAAGGGTATTTATAACTCGGTGTTTAACATATAGATGTGTATTTATAACTTAGCGTTTATCATGTATAAGGGTATTTATAACTCGGTGTTTAACAT